CAACCTGTATACTTTGGCGATAAACAGCAATGTTCATCTTACTATGCTAACAAATAAAAATCTTTGCTCTAAAATTGTCATGGTACAGAGCGAGTCTACGATTGCGCGGAGTAACTTAATGCCTTAAAGATAAGATTTTTCGATAGAGTGCTTTTGTATTATATGGTTGAATATTTTCCACATTTTAAAAATACTTGGAATTATACAGGGTGCGCTCACAAAGTAGGGCGGTACATTAATTTAAATGGAACCCCCTGTATTTGAATACATTTTTTTATTGTACGTGTAATTGTACTTTTTTATTATGTGGTTAATATACGAAGAACTTATAGGTTTACAGGAAATTCGATTTGTAAGAAAAATTGGGCATTTGCCAGCGTCAGTATTGTCAAAATTATTTTCATTCCAGGTTCTATATCTTTTATCCTGGGTAAAGTAAAAGTCAAATAAATACATCTACTATGAAACATTAAAAACATAGCTTACAGGGTGTTTTTTTTGTAGATCCAAATTTACAAAACTTCATATTAAAAAATCTCACTTTTTTAAATGAAACACCCTGTATAAGCTCCTCTAAAAACCTTCAATTTTGATAACAATGTCCTATACCTATCTCTGATAGTTTTCGAAATAACTGGGATTTCCTGGTTTTCATATTCTAATCTATAATAAGTTATATATAATTTACATAATAACGTGGTGGCCATGCAAAACAAGGCAATTTTTATCTGCCTCGTCCAAAAAGAAAATCATATTGATTAATTCATTTTTCGAATAATTCATTTAAGTCTAAAAACTGGAATCGTATGTCAAAAATTAAAAGTGAAGTGGTGAGACTGGTTGCCAAAGGTACTTTAGCATCCCCTCGAAAATTTTAAAAAATCATATTAAACAGAATGACGTCTTTTTTGAAAGGGATTTTAACTCTCTATTTATGTAATATGGAGTTTCTTTAAATTTGTTGCAATTATAAATTAGAAAAATTATTTTGGAGAAATGATGATAATGTATATTTTTTAAATAGAAATTTTCTCATTTATGATTGCGATCTTACACTACTTACTATGTACAAATAGGTTTGATATAAGAAATTGGAAAGATATTGATTTAAAATTAACCTTTTGTTTCGGATGTAATTATTTAATTAGGGATTGATTACACCACCTACTCTAAAAACAGCCTGCCAATGTTTGGTGAAGCGACTGTAGGTAGTGCAATAGTATTTCAAAGTGTAAAAAAACCTCTTATATAATTTTCCAAATCCAAAACCATTACACGAGAACATAATACATCCCCCCTATACTGTAACACGTACACTTTTGAAAAAAGACGTGTTCTGTTTGTATATTGTTGGTTGTTGAAAGTAAACGAGGTTTATTTAAATGAAAGTTGAGATAAATTTAATTTCAGGGTACAAACGGTTTCTATTAAAACGAAAAAATAGTCCTCCTAACTACAACTGGAATTGTTTATCATACAAGCTTTGTTAGGGATGCATATTCATGCGAATACATGTATGCCGCATATCCACTATTCATTCTTTTGTTGATAAACTAGGACAACATTGGTTTTACGTTTATTGCTTTATAAGCCGTTTATTCTTGCTCGTTTCTTAGAATCGGAATCGGCACTAATTAAGGATGACCAAACATCTTGCCTACTTTCCGGATTATACCACAGTAACAGTTTGTCCTGTTCTCAATGTTTCATGCAATGATATGTAGATAACAGCAAAGAAGATGTAAGGGAGCTTGCACCTTGTTGACCTATATCGTAGATTAAGTTGTAATCGTCAAGACAGCCTAGGGTATTAATTTCTAGCTAACCGCGGATCGAACTTCCACAAACATTGACCCGAAGTTCAGCTACTTATTACATAACGCAACCCTTTGCGACAACGCCCGCGGTTTCCTAAGCGAATTTATTCGTAGTATAAAATTTGATGGCGGTCTAATGATCATTCGTTTTGTTTATTTTTGTTTTCTTCAGCGAATCGGGGTTTTGGAAAGTAAATTATTTTGTTATTCAAAGAACACAGTTGAAGTCTCTGCTATGAAAACTTCAATAGCATGTTGAAGCTTTAATTGTACAAACGTACACGTGTAAGCATGGAAACGGGATGCTACTGAAGGTTCGTTTCACCTCAAAACTAGGGCAAACGTTATTGTAAACGTAATTGTGACCTAAGTTTCCTATTCAAATAAAGGCGTGGGGAACACAATGGCTTGTACCTTTTGAAGTAAGCAACAGATACCACAGTAGTCGGTGTGGACTGTAAGAAATTGTTTGACGAACTCAAAGTTTGCAGTTTTTCACAGCGTAAAGGTAACAAGCATTACACAAACGAAGTTTGAATTATCGAAATCACATAAATTCAGTAGCTGACACCCAAATAGAACTATGTCTGCGTAATTTTGGTTATTGGAAACCTTCATTTCAGTTCAGTACGATATTTATGGAGTTTCTTAAAGTTCGATCGTAAATTATTATTATCATTTATCATTATATTTTGATGTCTATTTACAATTATATTGTTGTCGAACGAATCGAAGCCAAACCGGAACGGATTTTACGACTAATTCTGTACGGTAGGCGAACATTCTTATAAAAAAAACTAAAGGTAGTAAACCTCGGAAGTTGTTCAAAAATTTATTAGCGAAGTTTTACACGTATCGGGATTTCACTTTGCAAGTGTGACATTTAATATATAGCTATCGTAATTATATTATGTTGAACACGATCTGTGAGGTTTCCTAACTTTATAATTAACACAAAATAGTCGTTCCCGTATACATTACAGAACGGAAAACTCAGTAATGAGCTTCTTAAATTTAGTGTGGGTATACCGATGTAAGTAGCGATTTTATGACGTGCAATGACCTTTTTAATTGTTTTTTAAATTTATGATACCGCCATAAACGACCTCACCCTAATAAAAGCCTGCACATATAAAGGAATCCCTCGGTGTACTTCTTGATGTTTGTGGCATTTATCAACTCTACGTAAAATTTGTGGACATAATTTTTATATGTGAAGTATAAACATATCTTCAGTGAGAGGCTTGCTTGGCGCAGAGTTATTGAGTCGTAAAGTTTTTTTGAATCTCGCAATACAAAAATAGATAAGTTATCCTAACGAGAAGTACAATGTAGAATTTGTATGAGAATGCCCTTTTTATTATCGCTGTAGATTATGCTGGCCCGTTATATTTATGTATATTGTGTGCAATTTCTGGTATATTAAATGAACCTCGAATAAGTCAACTCCATAGCATAGGGAGCATATCGCCAGTGGTTCCAAACTGGTGGTCTGTGGATCACATGTGGTGCTTCTTGTTTAGGAACAAATTTCGAGTCTCCATTTACGCTAATTACGCCTACCTATAATCAAGTTCCTATCAAGACGTCAGACAGCGGCCATTTTGTTAGGAAGTTACACGAAAGTAAGGTAGACCTTCACCGCGTGGGCTTAATTTTTTTTTATTATCCCACTTTATTTGCAATCTGTAACAATTACATTACAATGAGCCAATGTTTTGTTTAATAACTGTATTAAGCGAAGGTGTAAATAGGGAATATTTCATTGGGACCCCTAGAAAGCCCTACTGGAATTTAAATAAGTAGTAATTAATTACAGATTTCCTCTTCAAGGAAATTTAGACCATTGTTTACTTGCAATTCATAATCTGGTCACCTCTTCAAGGATATAGATATTTTTTACTCAATACTGAATAACGAATTTCTCCATTTTGTGTATATCCACCGCATGTGTATTTGATGTTTTTGTACTGCAAATCGATTGCTCTATAAACAAGTTGTAAATCAGCATATGCATGATTACAGCGAATATTTGTAATACGGATCAGTATTTTATTAGCAAAGTTTAAACTTATCAATCTCACGAGTAATTTAATCAAAATAGACTAGAGCCTGCACATCTACACCATAGCAGAAAGCTTTTAGTGAAAATGTGAAGTCTCTAGCTATTGTAATTACTAAGATCTCAGCCAGACAGCCAGCCAGCCAGACAGAGAGCCAACCATAACGAATGTAGTAGCGTACAGCTCCTAAGCTGTATGTCCAGGATGGACTAATGGAATTACTATAATGAGAATTTCCAAGAGCTAGAAGAAATCTAAAATCCTTAAAAATTAAAAACTTCCCCAATGAAAATCCGAAGAGGAGGGGCGGGGGAGATTACGAAAGAAAGATTGTTAAGTACAATCTTAGTAAACACATTTAAAGCTCAAAGAAACCATCAATTACTACATTACTAAAAAAAACTTGTAAAGAAGGTGAAGTTAAACAGAACTCCCTAAGATGACTCCTAATGAGATAAAGTGGGACCTGAGCGAATTTTAAAAAGAACCATACAGGGATTGCTAAAGAGTTTCTAGTTTTAAATGGATTATTACACGTAACTCTGAGATCGAATCTAGCAAGGGATTTACTTTTCTTCACTCATCGCTCAAAATGTAGAGCTTATAAAGTCAAAGGATGCTGCCTCCCCTCCTGGACACTGTTAAATACCCCCCGCCGTCTCTCATGTAGACAACTATTGGATTGATCGGCTTTGTAGCTCAGTGGTAGAGCGTTGAGCTACAAAACTGTATAGGTCGGGTGTTCGAACCTGGGCTGAAGTAGGAATTTTTCATCTGTGGCAGAGGTGGAAATCTCCTTAGATCACTTTCAAGCATTCTGCCGGCTACTCAGAATTAGGTTTTCCTGCTGTTTTCATAATTCGTAAGGTAAATACCGGAGTAGTATAGAACAACTTAAGACCTTCTGCAGGCGCACCTCTAAAAAGCATTATGTGGGTCACTCTGTAATTGGGCGTAAGCCTGTTGAGGGATAGATAAATAATTAACTGTTAAAACATAAAATGTAATTTTTGTTGTTACTATGTAGTTTTGAAATTCGTATTTTATGCATGAAGTTTATAAAGCAAACGCTGTATACTTTGGGAGTAAAAAGCTTGTTTACCTACCATGGTACTAAAAAGGCAGAGAACAAGATCTTTATTTTGATTCATTTAAGCACGACAACAAACAAATCCTCTCACGAAACACATTGATCTGCGAAATTGAACGTTATTTTTATTAAGTTTATATATGGCAAAGCGAACCTTATCATCTCATTTGGTCTACACTCACTAACACAATACCGACATATTTGTGTTCGCAGTGCAGTTGCCGCAACCAGTACCAAACTAACTACCAACACAGTAATCCACTTCATTTTAGTCACAGCGTCTTGTGGGATCTATAAAAGGTTTACCTGTTAAATAACAGAACATCAGTCCTCTCGTATCAAATCACCAACCACTGTAAACTGCTGCTACCCCTACTAACGTGGTTTTGGGGACAACTCAAGTCTGTCAGAATTATCTGAGCTGCTCTTTTTGTCCATTTCACTTTGCTAGTGTGAAATTAGGTCGAGTGGAAAAATCAATCAGAATTTGAGTAAATGAAAAGATGTAATAAATAATACTACTGAAGTAATAATCTTACCCGTAACTAGGTATGAAAATTAGTAAATTCCAGAATGGTTGACAATAGTTGATACGTTAACAACTCGAACACGTACGAGTCATGTACAAAACATTAGTCAACAACGACTATTTAGTTCCCGCCCCAACTTGGCAACCCTGGAAGTCTAACTTTTCTAAGAGTCATTTTTCCTACAAAAACAGACAGTTCCTCTCTACGAGGAGACTTGCCTCTCATTGTACAATGCCAATATTGTTTAAATTAATTTTTGGGTGATCCTTGTACATTTTCAATTGCGATAAGAAAAAAAAATTAGTATTTTAGCCTTGTAACTGGTTATTATCCACGATAATTCGCATATTAGGAGACGTGTTCGTGTTCACATCTCCGTATCCTCATAAATGTGGAAGCTAAAAAGTTTACTGCTTCAGGTAAGTGGATTTAGAAAAGTTAAAAGTGGCCGAATTGATAGATATGTTTAAGGTCGAAAGAAACAAGATGATGGGTAATAGCAGAAAAACGAAGTAAGTTGAGGAGATTTGGTGAGAGATTAGACCAGAATTGAGGAAGGTAGCCGGAGATGATAGCCAGAAACGAATGGGCTACGTAGGCAATTTTAATGGACGAAAGAAGATGTTATAAGTGTGCATCAAGTCAGCACGGTGAGGATAAATGTAACGAATTAAAAGATACGGTAGTTAGAGAATGGGGTTAGCAAAAGAACAGGGGCTCTAGGGGAAACGTCTGTTCCAACGTTGAGAATACTGCCGTTCTATAAAATGGCGTACTTGTCCTTCTTTAGAGAAACAAGCTTTAGCGTACGTTTTCATAAGAAAAGGGTATAAACCCTGGATGAGTTTCATTTAGGTTCATCAGGTTGTCGTGAAATCTGATTATCCATCTGGTAGGATATTCGAGAGAGGTATATTCGAATTAGTGGCAAGAAGATGATTTTTTTATGTATGACCTTTATATGGTCCTCGTGGTTTAGTTCAGGGGTGCTTTCCCCTACATTGAAGGATGTTTGTCGCCCCCAACGTTGCACTTGAAATCGCCTGCTATAGCATATTATGAGAAACTATGAGAAACATGGAATTTTTTGATATATATCTTTTGCGTGGCCCTTATGGTTTAGATGTCCAAAATAGTCACTCTTTCAGCGCCACCTCCAAGTTAACTGGCAGACGGGTGATTTTAATACTAGTTTTCAATGTACTTTCACCCTGTAATGTCGAATATTTTGTCGGTTATGGTTTAGTTAAGATGTGGGCTACCTCCGGGTTTAATAGGAATGATTCTATTCCATCTAAAAAATTGACTGTACCATAAGGCGATAAAAGGCACGTTCGATCAATACAAACGCAGAAAAGCTTTACAAATTAAAAAAGATGTCTACAACCACAACGATTCTACAAAAATAACAGTCCACTGCCATCATGCAAGAACATGAAAAGCTGTATATATAACTGCCTTATCGAATCGTGGTGTTAATTGAGTTTATGATACATAATAAAGAAGGTAATGGCAATATTTACTAATATTTGCGTTATAAAATTTTCATTCCATAGTAATGTAGCATGTAATGTCGTATCGCAACGACAAAAATAGCCGCGATAAAAATGCGTCGACCCCTTCAACCTCATCAAACATGCAAATTAAAATAATCCATCTTAGTTTTTTACTGTTTTGTTTAAATATCAGCGAAGTACAAATTTACATAATTATTTTAAACTTAAACATTTAGAGAATAGAACATTCATTTCTTTTGCCTTGGTCGATAATGTCTTCATGATAGTATGATGATTTCTGCGGAAAGGCTGCCGTGTGTATGCTGAAATTGCCTTCGGTATATAATGTAATATCAGAGACATGATAAAAGCAGTTCCTGCGTTAGACGTAAACATTTTCTATGCGCTCATACCTACGCGAAATTTTGACTCGACATAATCTAATTTGCGCTGGCATTAGTAGTTCTTGTGTGCAAAATCGTTACGAAATTCAAATAAAAAGCAATGACGTAGACATTATTAACGATGTTTGTGAGTGGCATCAAATTTGTATTAACCTAATTCCAAAAGGCATCACGCATTAAGGGTATCCAGTTACGGCATTGATACGTGCTAATCAAAAAGGGTTAAACCTATTTCATGTTTAGTGTCTACTGTGTCGGTAGTTTGTTTGTTGAAAATACAGGGCGAACATGCCAACCGAATAGAGTAAACAAGGGGCGTAACGCACCTTTTGATGAATGGAACGGTTTTCAAAACGGATTCAGCATTATGCCATTATACCGATGTTGATACAGTGGTTTTAGGGCCATAATACACAGCGCGTTGCATATAAAGCCCTATCAGTTTTACACAGCAAATCTAATCCTTCAATTACAGTTTGAAATCGGAACGACTTTTTAATAACGGCAAATATCCAGCACGTAATGTAGGGGCAGATCGGGCCATAATGGAGAGTGTTACTAAGTTACACGTTTCATGGAAATTTAGGGTTTGATGAAAATGAAATAACAGGCTTGACTTTTGTTCGCCAGGGAATTAATTTGCATAGTAAAAATTTTAATTAACCGACTTATTTTAGTTACAATATTATTAGAGCATAAACCGGATCAGCATAAAATCCCCAATCTATTATCTCTCCCAAAGAATATATAGCATCCTAATAATGGAGTTGAATATGACCCGTATTATTGAATCCCTCGTCCACCTTTTGTGAATTCCCAGCACATTCCTAAAACATACATATATCTTTAAAGTCATAGTATACGCGAGATTATTAAATTTTTCCCCAGTCGATTTCGAAAAGCTTTTGTTTGAAAAGCTGCGACAGGGATGCGAGCCCTAATAAATTCTAAAGGTGACATGAAATTAAAATCAGAACGTATATCTTCCAAAAATTGCGTTTTAAAAATACCGGAAACAATTTTTAATATTTCGTCTTACTAAATCTTTATTTCACTTGCCTGCATTTACCGATGAGAATTGCATTTTATTCTTCAGGCAATCAGTTCCGCTTTTTGACACAAGAATCAAGTGTGTTAGATTCTAAAAGGTGATTCTCAGTTGTAGTTTTTGGTTCTCATCCTCTTCTGTTGTTGAGTGTGTTTGCTATTTATGTGTATGTTGCTGTAGATAATTTAAAATTCGGATCACGTCAACAAAAGCCAATTCGAGCAAAACTGAAGCAATCAGCAAAGGGAATCATAGGAGGATATTGTTTAACATATGAAAGTGTAAAGAAGCACCCTTTTTCGCCTTGAAGTTTACCTGTTTCATTGAACACACCGTACATTTGGAATCCCCCAGCTATAATAATAATAATAATAATACGTTTATTAGTACAAGACCAAAAGGCCACAGCTGGTCTTCCACATGTACACAACAATAACATCACATGATACAACATAGTAGTAGAGCACAACCTTAGCTTTTCCCTACCAGTCATATTAGGAAGTTTTAAATTTAAACCTAGCGCACACAAACACCCTCTCATCGCCACAAACGAACACCCGGCATCTAGAGATGCTTCGTTACGAAACCGGACCTATATATTTATTTTGTAGGTATTGGAAATAGAAGGTGAAAGTAACTGCCGATAAAGAAATCAAGATGCTGTAATAAATTTGCCGTTTGCAGCCGTTCCTGTAGAGATATTTTAATTGGTTTTCTAGGGTTCGAGAGCTTTATTGCCAAAGAAGGGGTGAGAGAATTCATATTTTAGAGTTTCAGATCTGTTAATTGGTTAATTAATTATTAAGAGATTTTAGTTTCCATTGATGGCCTACCGAATTTTCAAAATTGTAATCGGGCCATTTAGTTAAGTATAATGAACCGCTGCTAATTAAATGAGTTGCAGCGAACGGCATGCGATTATGTCGTGAGTGGTCTCAAAAGAAGTGCTTAAAACCAATTACAGATTCAGGATTATCTTCTCAAATTTTGGGAATTCTATTTCAGGTAGGAGGGTATCTTTTCTTTCCTTTTCCATAACTTTCTGAGCTTGCTGCTGCGAGTTCTAATTTTTTTAGCCCATTCCACGTTTAACGGTAGGCGATTGACAGTTTGTTTTTCGTCTATTGTCAGAGGATTTGTTTTCATTTGTTGTCTTCTTTCCCGTGTCTCTAGTGAATACAGGAGTGAATATTTTAGTTATTTACCGTCCCCACTTGGGGAAACCGCTGTTCTCCGGTGCGGCGTAATTCTGTTCTAGGTATGGATCAGTGATCAACCGCCATTTTGCCTGCCAGATCCCTGGAACTTTCCGTTGTCTCTGTCTGAGAACAAATTCGTTAAGCATCTGCCGACCTTAACAAGAAGAAAGGGCCCTGGGGACGCTCGAAAAACGCATATCGACCGTGACTATTATCAGTTGATATTATGTTGTTTTCAATTAGATTGGTTTTTTCGTTTTTTTTTTCATTTTAAAGCAAATAATCCTGTGCCGTAAAAGCAGTTGTAATTCAAAATGAAGGAATGGAGCTAACGTGCAAAAATTCTATAAAGGTCCTTTTTCTACGAGCAGGAATTGTGGCGAAAAAAATAGACAAATAGAAGGAGATTGAGAGAAGTTAGGAATGACAAGTGGTAATTGCTTATAGGTTGATGAAATTTACTTAAAAGAAGAGGGCTCAGCGAAGGAATTTGTTCAAATAAACTAAGTACTTGAAAGCAAGAAAAAATAATGAGACATTTAAAAAAATGACAAATTATTCAGAAAACAAAGATAAGAATACGGCTAAGGAAAACGAAGAAACAATACTACAAAAAAAGAGATATGCCGAAGGATAATTTAATAAAAGAAATTGGGAGGTAAACCTAAAAATATGAAATAGAAATGATTTAGAAAACGAAGATGAGAATGTCACAAAAATGAATTGAAAAATGATAGCGGAACAAGTATAATTGTGCACAAGTACTGTGCAGATAAAGTGCATTCATTCCCAATAGGGAAATCGTCCAGACGATTCATTTTGCTTTTGTGAGTACTTTCCTCCAACAAACCGTTTTCCAGATATTCACTTTTGCAGATTTACAGCACCAATGGATAATCTTTCTCCCCCCCCCCCACATGTCACCTGATCTCGAATCTCAGAAGACAGTTATAGCAAAGAGTATCCATAATAAGAGATACAGCGCAATGGTATAAACGCGTGTTGGCTATAAGAACTCGCCCGCTAGGACTCCAAAAGCGGGCCCTCGCGTAGAGGTGGCCAGAACTAACCGCCTCTTTAAATATTGGCGCGTATTGAAAATTTACAGAATTCTTTATAGAATTTTGGTTTAAAATATTTGCGCGGTTGTCACATTTAATTTTCTTTCTTATTGGCTGTATAAAATGTGGACATGATATAATTAGAAAACATTACTTAAGTATAAAAGAAATCAGCAACAATTCAGTAACTATTGTTAATTACATTGGTACTTTCCTGTTTAGTTGGCGTCTATTGAATAGACAGTAATTACTATTTAATTGAATAACCAATAACAGGTACAATTGTAAAAATGTAAATTAAATTTGTTATTATCCATCCTTTTTAGATCGTCTCCTACAATCAAATTAAAGTGGACAATATATTTCATAAAATGCACTAGCAAATTGGATTTTATGATGAGCATAGCGATTATTTTACAGGAAATTTTGTTTGCTTTAATTTTGTATAGATGCCTACATACGCTGAGTTGTTTAATCATTAACAATCAATCATTACAATGCAATAATCCTTATGTCCTCAGAAAAAAAACATCAGTCTAATCCAATAATCAGTCAAAATATATAGTGCAGTTAAATAATAAATTAATAAATCTGCACCCGTCGAATAAATTTAATTAAATATTTACACGTTATTCTCATTTAAACAATTTAATTAAAAAAATACTCTCGACCCGCATTTTAAGCTGCAGCACTAGCGCGCATCGGTCTCCTAGCAACTAAGCTTCGTACACATGTTTTTCAGTCACCATTGGCTAGCGGAAAAAACACAAGTATGTGTATTTAAATTTGCCGCTCAACTTGAGCCACCGCGCATTCTGCTATAGTGATTCATACGATTGATAATGCAGTGTATGTTCTTATTTTTGAAAACAACATTTTCTTCCGCCCCAAATATAGGGTTTATATCTCCGGAATGTGTGGGTCGATCGGAGTGAAATGTAATGAGATTAAAGGGGACATTAGTCACATCGACTGGTAAAAATATGGTCCAAATCGGCCAAGTAGTTTTTCAGTTATCGCAAAGAAACCACTTTAAAAGAGGTGGGGTTGCGTTGGTCCACAGATCTCATTTTTAACTGATTTTGAACCATTCGATCACAACTATAATCCAATGGAGGCAGTTTATTTTGTTTTTATTATATTGTTTGGCCGGCAAAAATTAAAAAATGAAACATTTTTTCCGGGAATCTTTTATTCTCTTATTATTTGTACTTGTACAATAAATACTATAAAACGTCTATTGGCCTATTTTTTTTTTCAAAAAATTTTCGTTTATTTCCTCGTAAATCGGAAGTAAATATCGTTCGTTAGACTACTTCCTCTAACTAAACGATCTAGTTCGGTCGACTTTTCCACACGTCCGTCGACGGTAGGACGACGAACAGTGTGTACAAAGGGCAGAGACGTAATCAACGCGAGCTTATTACTCGCGCTTACTGGGATACACAGTAAAAAATCTATTATTTACCGCTCAAAAAATGGCTTATTGTTACACGAAGAACATATCTTCGCACCTATGAATCAAACCAACAAGCGTTCGGACCTTAATAAATTGTGCCATAATCGTAGAATGAAATTACATATCTTTAAACATCATACATTTCAAGGAATAATAGATACCTAAATAAGTGCAAGCAAACACTAAAAATTTGGCAACGCTGGGATTTCTGCAATGATATTTATAAACTTCTAAACAAGTAGTTGCCTTGAAATAGCCCCTTAGGCGTAGCGTACGCCAATAAAATTGAGAAAAAGCACTAAAATTTGTTAGACAACACACAATACATATGCAACACTATTCTCTATACCGTTGGATCTCTTATTATAGTTACTCTTTGGTTATAGTTTGTAGAAATGCGTATGCAAAATCTGAGACGAATTGATTGTGCTATGTAAAAGATATGCACGTATTAATGGAGGTGGTCCCTCGTAAAACAGAATTTGAAAGCCGTTTGGCACACCTTCAAGGTGTAGGCTACCGATTGCAAAAATTCCAGGCCTGTAGGACAATTTCCCTAAAAGTAGTTCAAAACCGCAATTGTGGATTCGGAGGGGCGGACGGACAAATCGAAAACAGTAGCACCTTTTTTAAATCTTTAAAAATGCGCTAAAGGTAGGCAGATGAAAATCCTTATTTTTACCACCCGCACGTTAGTAAGGGAAGTTATTATTGGGGTAAAAAATGAGGTATCTGTCGATCTGTCTGTTTGTACCTTCATTCCCCGCTAAACGCCTGAACCAATTGGAGCCAAATTTGGTATACATATTCTTACACATAAAAGTTCAGCTGAAAAGATTTTGGGCAGAATCGCGCATGCGCAGGCGTGCGGGTGGTATCTGCGCTAGTCAAATCGAATTAAAGACACAGTTCTGTTAGCTTTATGGGATTACAGAAATCAAGCTCTTGAAAGGATTGCCTAAAGCCCTAAACAAGGAGAAGGTAGAGAAAGAAAGAAAGAGAGAAAGAAAGAAAGGAAGAGAGAGAGAGAGAGAGAGAGACGTTAATTTTCTGCTTAAATCATAGGGGTAGTATCTAATGATTATCGGAAGAGTTAGACAGAAGTGATATTTTCACAGAACGAATGTGAATCTAAGTATATTAAGGAGAAGCTGCAAATAAAAGTTCCCATCAAATGTTGTCCAATTGCAATAAAAAGAAGAGTCACTACACGTAAAGGTAAAAATAATGGTTAAGATTTTTTGTTTCCATATCGCACGTGCCAAAGAGTTATTTTGATAGTTAGAGACAAAGAATGCGGTATTTATTTCATCCTCCCACGCATTCATTGGTTTTTTTTTACAAAAAAAGTGATTTCGTGCAACTTCCATTCCACTTCGCCAAATATTTGAATATAATCTACTGTTTCAGAGACGCGCGCTACATGCAGGTATCAATTTCGAAATTTAATTAAAACTCGCTTTACTTCGCGTAGCTTTCTGCCAAGTATAAAAGTAATGAAAAATGTCGATTTTGTATGCTTTCGTATAGATTGAAAGTTAATGCAGGAAGAGTCTACGCTAAACAGAAATACATCGGCATTTCCATTACAATACGCAAAGCGCACAAACAAGGAAATGGAAAACATTTCTTTTATTTTCTTCAAGTGTACCGAATCCTCCTTTCGCATTCGGCAACCTGATTAAAGAATTAATACCTAAAAAGCATTTCCTGGTAGAGATACCCAACTTAGCGTTGCAGGAGAAACCGCCAAATATTTCAGCCAAATAAAACCTCTGATAAATTGTTTACTGGAGAATGTTTTGCTGATCTCGACTTCAATAAATTTGAAATGTAGAGAGATACCTGAAGCTTGTGGAGTTCTGCTGTTGACGTAACATACGACTGTAATATTAATGTCCACGCTTTGTCTTGTAACTCTAATGAAAATGTCCCGATTATATTTACGACGTTGCCTCATTTTATTTGCTCATTTGTCTATCTCCGCTGAATATTACAAATTCTCCGCTCACCGAATATATACATGCGGCCGAGAGAACGAGTAATTAGTTTTCGATGAGGTCGATTGCTGGTTTGAAGCCAACAGGGCCAGAGATAAAGCATAAAATTTGCACTAAAACGTGTTACTGGCTCGTTATCTTCGGCCTACTCGGTACTACGATACATATTAATCCAAAATCTGATTGTATTCGTGGGACAATGCCTAAGTCTCTACTTAATGAGACCCGAACGTGCCATCATGCCAATTTATTGATTCAAACGACGTACTAATTTAGTCATTCCCGGGGCAACCGATTTTTTTATGATTTATACATTCCGCAGCTCCCTCTCGACTCCCGAAGATTTCCTATTTTTACGTACGCGCGGGAATAAATTTATGGGACAGTAAATAATGTAAATGTCGAGAGAGAAGAACCGCAGATTCGAAATTCGAGTGTGTATGTTTACATTCAGCAGGGCGACGAACTAAAAAAGCATAAGAATTCCTTATAACTGTTTTATTCCTTTTTAAATTCTTCACAACCTTTTAAGCACTGTTTTACAAACATTTCATGTTCTACATAATGTAACAATCTAAGGAAAACAATTTTAAATGTTTCTTGCAAATGAGGCCAATTTCTTTTTAAGGAAAGCAGCAACTTTGAAATTTATTACTATCTTCCACGTCAAATTATAATAATGACCCAAAGAGGATCGATTAGGTCATTAGGTTAAAAAATACATTTTCCAGCTATGCTCAGATTTCATGGGGGCCAACTGAATAGCAAACTTGATACAAATATACCTATTCAAGAGAACCTGATTCACGGTTCAACCTTAGAAAGTTTAGGAGTGTCGGAATTTTTGAAAAATGTCCAGAATCGCTAAGGGACAATCCCCATGACATACTACATACTTAAATACAGAGAAATACTAAACCTTTCCTAACAAGTCACTCTGTAATTGTTTTACGCATACATTTCTAATCATTGCTTAACATTATGAAGTTGTAACCTCACATCTAAAATTGGTTTCATGGACATTATTCATTAAAGGTATGATCCATTCCTTTAATTTCGTAACAATAGTATACCCCAAATTGGTTATCTAAAAAAGTTAACCAACACAACAATGTATGAATTAAGAATGATTGCATGGTCCCACATAAACTATGAATAATTAATTGTAAGAGGGTTCGACAAGTAGGAAACAAAAAACCATTGTTTATAAATTTAAATGAATAATACTTCTGGTAGATTATAATTCATTTAATTCCTTTCATTGCAAATTGTTGAAATGCCAAAGTTTATTTATAATTTGATTCAACTAATTGTGATATACGAAGAGTGCTTGAACAGTCCGTAGTAGCAACCCTTGTTTATGATTCACTAAGGTAAAGTATCAATGAAATACAACTTCATTTACAGTTGAAACGTTTTGCCATAGATCGAGATGTCCAACTTAGTACGGACTGTTCTAATATTGATCGTTATAGTGGTGTCCAACGTCAAATCAGGTGTAAGCGTTTACTGTCATTAGGTTAACTTAGGAATGAAAGGGAAAACAAGTTTGCGGATTTTTTGAGCCATAAAGCAGAAGCTTAAAAAGCTCATTTTTAGCACCCGCGAGTTAATAAGCGAGGTATTACATTGGGGTAAAAAATGATCCTCCACTTATTTGACGGAAATACACGTTTTGAAACACCAGGAATAAGAATCAAATAAAATTGTGATGAGTCGGTCGCTCCGTCTGTACCCTCAATTCCGGCTAAACAGCTCAACTGATTGAAACCAAATTTGGTACATCTAATCTTAGACATAAAAGGAAGAAATGAAAAGCTTTTGAGCAGAATTGCGGTTTTGTAGGTGTGCGGGTGGTATCTATGACAGTTACAAACGCTCTCCTTGCTCATGCAAGAAGCATTTCGTGTAATAAGTGAATTTACAAGTGGGTTTCTCCTATTTCGACCCCGCTGAATTTGATTCTATATGTACTAAGTCTGAAAATGAACCGGAAGGGAGGTATTCAAGATCGCGTCCAATACGGCGGATTTTGGACCACCTTGGCGTATTCAAGGGTCTGGCCCCCCGTTTTTGGGGTCAAGGAACACGATGGAGGCCGAGAGTGAAAAACCGCTATTTCTCATATTTGGCCAAAATGGTACTAAAAATTCCGAGTTTTGTGTGAAATTGGTAAAAAATTATCAATAACATAGGTTCGCATTAAAGCAAATATCCAATTTTGTAAAATAATTTACTGAAAATATGCAATTTTGGCTCCTCTTTAGCAGATTAAATAGTTCGTTAGTGTTCCTCTAAAAAAAATACATTGCAGGACCAAAACGACCGACACTGAAATGACCGGGACCAAAACGGCGGGACCGTAATGGCGGGACTAAATGCGTTATAACTCGTCATTTTTGATAATCAATTCGAAAGTGAAAAAAACATAAAGCCTTCGCGTTTTCACCACAAACCTACACTGTATACTAAAAACTTACCTGCATAGGTTCTTCAGGTCAACAAATCTCCCCAAACCCACTGCTTTTGACTAAGATCTGCCATTAGTCCGCAGCCATGTCTCTTGTTTGTCCATAATTTGTAATTGCGCCTTTTTAACTGTTCTAATGAGGTTAATTATATGAACTTTTCCAGGCCTTGCGTTTTTAAAAATCACCTGTACCCCACTGTAACGGTAGACGTAAATTTGTATTTAAAATTGTTTCGAAAATTCAGTGTGAAGTTGGAAACTTTGGGACTTATAAGAGTAGAGTAATTTAATTGCGTATCATTTTGTCCAAATTTCGAGGTTAGAACTTATTTTCCGGATGAATCGTGGTTTTGTGAGATTTTGAAAGAATTTAATAATAATAATAATAATAACTTTATTCCCTATAAAGACAAATATAACGCGTCACAGGATCGTCAAAATAACATCAAAGCAAAAAACATTATGTTTGGAAAATTTAACTGAGTCTTCAAAAAATTCAATTAAACTGCTGTAAGGTTTTGAGATTAGTACATTCTTGACCTTGCTCTTAAAAAGATTGATTTGATTAATAGCGGTACAAGAGACGTTTATTATTTCTTTTCTATGAGACTTTGTTTCTTAACTGCTTTCGGAAACCACCTTTTTAATCGGTATGATTGGGTTAGATTTAGTGTTCTATCTTCTGGCATTTTCTATCGTTTGGCATTTATACGTAAACGAAACTGCATTGCCATACATTTATGACCTAGGAAATAGCCGTGGCACCGACGTGTCTGCCGGCCTGCGAGGGGAACTCCCTTGTCCTATTGTGTTAAACCTTTATCGGCATATGTCTTTGCGAGTGTGACTGGTTTTTGTTATTGTAATTAGCGGGAAGGCAAAATAGTTGGAAATTGGTTCATAAACTAATGACGCAGGGCTCATCTTTTCTGAATTCAACTGTAAATGCGAATTTCGGGAAGTGCAAAAGAAATAAAGAACTTAACCGGAAATTTCTTGGTTATTAGTGCGCACAGGCACAGTAAACACAATTAATTAGCGTCTGCTAAAGATTAAATTAGATTATTATCTGTGGAACAGGGTTTACTGTTCAGGAGTTTTTCGTGAATAACCAGGAAAGTGACAAATTTTTCCTGGGTATACATATAATAGATACTAATGAAGGTCGCCAAAGAGTCGTTATACGGAAACTTTCATGCCGTTTCCATTTTCGAGACATTCGATGGTCAAGAAATCATATCCACTGTCCAGTCAATCTAGGGTAATTTAAGCTGTATCCATTGTACAGAAGAAACCAGTCCATTTATGTATCCGTCGGAAAACGTCAACCGCAAGAAACATTGTTCAAAAAACAATTTTCATTGTTGTACTTTAGAAATTTTACGTATTTTTAAACGAAGCCAATTTGTGTAAATTTGATATTGGAAGACTGCATGTAAAAACTACGAACCTATTGACAGAGATATAATTTTTTCAGAACAGCTGCAGTTTACGTTTGTGCTTAAAATCATTACAGAAAATTAGTTCTAAAACGGAATTAAAGACATTAAATATGCAAGTAGTTAAATTTTTTCGAAAATTTCTTCTCCACATTAAGTAAAGACTAAAAATCTGTCTCGCCTTTAAAGCGAACATTGTAAAGTAAAGCCGGTAACTGCACGAGTGTTTACATCAATAAGCTTCTAGCACTTTGTTGAGAAAAGTTAAAGTTTTAAATCAGTTTACAACTTTTGCTCGAATCACTTTTCTAATAGAAGTACAAAAGTGGTGTTTTTGCTTCGGGATCTCAATAAAGAGGTTGAAAATATCAATATTGCGTATTGAATTAAACACATATCCGACAACTTTGCAAGTAGCTAACTACATGCGAAACTAATACTGTGTAGGTTTTCAGCAGATTGATTTTAGATGCAAGTTTCCAACCAAGTAGTTAGCGGAAAATTATGGTTGCTTTGGTTTGAGCGCACCCGTTACTATTCACATGCAAATGTGGCTATCAATATTGGCGTGGTCGATGCTTGTAATTTCCTCTTTTTCTTATAAAACGTAAACTCGTGAAGTTTATCGAATGCTTTATTTAGTAGAGATACCTTATAATAGAAGTTTAATGCGTATTTTATGTGCGTAGAATAATTTAAAACCAATTTCGGAAAGGCACATCTTTACAAACTGTATCGAAATGTTCGCTCCGAACTGGAATCGTTTTTTGTACGTCTGAGAGGTAGGCAGCCACAAACATCTTCTTCTACATTAAGCAGCAAATGAGGCAGCATACAAACTGTAGAGGTACTTCAACTTTGCGGTTGTAATTTGTTATATCTTTTGATATACGGACATGCATTTTTAACGTTATTGGATCTTAAAAACAGGCTGTGCGCCTTTGTAAACTACGTCTTTTAGGTACATAGCTTGTATTAGTGTAGTCTAGCATCATTTGTAAATGTAAATAGCTATTACATTTTCTGGAAATGTATGAAACATTTTATTACAAGCAACTTCAAATTGAAAATTTATAAAACGCAGAAACGTGCCAGTTTTTGAATGTATAAAAACATACTTTAATATCATTTCAATTCCATCCACATGTAGATATGAAAAAAAAACACCTCGCGAACTTATTAATAATACATTTGCGGATTTTATATGGTAATTCGCTCTTCCCTTTACGCTTCCTGAGATTTGAGAGTTTAAGGAGACTTACCACTGAACATGCAGCACGAAAGAAACAAGAGAAAATATCCAGGCGAAGTCATCGTTGATGCCATCGCTAGCTTATGTTCATCCTCTCAGCAACTCTCTGCGGTCTAATTTATCGGAAGGCCTTCGAAGTTGTATTGACAGCTCTGAAATTACAGAAAAGCTCTTGTTAAACAACACGAAATTATTTTACCCACGAAATATTTTAATGGAGTTCTTAGTCAATGCCTACGGGAAATTTTGCATTGCAACGGACGGGGAGGACCCTGTCGACTTAAATCTTTTGGGAATTTGTGCGATGTTAGACTGATATCAAGGTATTTCGTTATAATTATTTTAGAATTTCGAAGAGATTGAAATACGTGAACGCCGGTTGCAAAATTGTTATGCAATTAAAAATATGACTTCAACTTGAGCAATGCTATGATCATGTTTTGGACTATAAAACAAAAACAAATTTTAAAGTTTACTTCTCTCACGGCCAGTTGCACAAAACAAATAATCCAAGATCATTGTTTAATCCGGTATTAAGACATTTGATTGACTTTATACTGCAGTATGCAGACAATAAAATGTCAAAATTCTTGTTTAAACTCAGATTTGGCAAATAATGTAGGATTTTGATTGTAATTCGCTTTCCTGCAACCGGCCGTCATTCTCTCTTGCTACCAAATACCATTTGCTTTTGTTTGTAATTAAATGAAGTGATATTTGGTACCATATATAAAACTCCTACGATCTTGCAAATACTGTATCAAAGATAGAAGTAAGGTACGTACCTCAACACGAACAACCAGAAATGCTTAACAATGGTACATTTATATCTATACACCTACATAAAAATGAATGTTTGCATGTATGTCTCTGATGCGTGCCTAAACAGTTTATCCGATTGCGATGAAACTTTTTGGGAAATGGTTTGACGTGTGCGAAAGTTTCTATATAAATAAATCGGCAGATAGTAAACAGGGCGTGTGAGGTGAGGCGGCGCAGCCGCCGAAACCGAGTGGATGTCCCATCTCAGCAAAAGATATTTTCCAAAGGCGGTATGAAGTTCGCTGGGTCTGCGGGTTCGACATAAAGTTGATTTTTAAATACAAACTTGTTTCCCTGAAAACCAAAGTTGACGTGTTTCGAAATTTTTTAAGGTCTGGATATCAACTTACTTATTCAGGGTGGCTCATTTTAAAGTAGTACAACTGATTGCTATTTCCCGTAATTTTGCAGCCAAACTTAGATGAAATGAAAATTGGAAGTGTGCTCTATGCGTTAGTGCAGATAAATGATGCTGTCATTGGATTAGTTTTCAAGATATATCTATTTGAAAATCATCCAATTTGATATGCGGGCGACTATGGAGAAACGTCCCAGCCTGGTATCACGATAAAATATTATATTCCCGTCATTCTGGGATGAGACTGCCCTCCAAAGATTCCTTGTTTCAGTAGGAACCCTATAATTGGATTACCTTTCGAGATATCTTGAGTTATCTACGTCAAAAGGGGTCAGATCGGCTGCAGTTTTTTGAAACGCCAATGTTCGTAAAACATTTCCACAATTTCAACGCCAATGTTTATAGAAACCAACTAACAAAAAGGAAGCAAAGGAATATGATGCGAGTAAGCCTGGCTAACCAGTCAGGAATGCTTCATTTTGGTTAATTATTTTTTTGTTAGTTGTGACTCTTAAATGACAGTTTACTTGTACCCCCATCCCACTTCCAAGCCTTTCCTGTTCAAATTCCGTTCTCAGTTCCGATACAATCAATCCTGCTTCAGCCATCTTTCCAATCATTGCTTTTGAAACCCCACCAACATCGTCAAGTTAATTGGTGAGAAAGATGCATCTACAATGGTAGCTTTCAACCGATAAAGTCCACAATCCGTCAAGAAGATAACTGATTTGAATCATAAGAGTGTCAACAACCTTTATGACCTAAAGAAGAACAAGTGTAAAATGTGCACAACTCTTCTGCAGATAAAGCGCATTTTTTGAAACCGAAATAACTTAGTAAATGAAAGTGGTAGCATGCATGATTAATGGGGAGGAGGCTCTTTACACATAAACATTTATCCGCCGCCTGGCATACATCCAAAATCATCCGACAACCCATTCTGCACATATTTTCAGTGAAAGCTTTGACATAATCAATAGGTATGTCTCGTTCTGATGTCCCACTTGCCTTTTATGATCCTCTTTCGACATAATGGAATATGTCCGATCACGATAATGGACGAAGGAGGAGGACTATGGTTGTTAGAAATTAATTCGTTGAGACCTCTCATTAGAGTACCATGAAGGATAAAACCAGTTCCACTCCCCCTTCCCTCAAGCCCCTCTTTTGATACGGAGTCAGAAAAACGGTAGTTGGTAGAAAACGGTTCCTTTAATTATAATATCATGAAGGATAAAATTAATCCCCCCCCCCTTCGGATCCCATCACCAATTGATCTCGAAAAAGAAATACGCGGGAAAGTTATAGTTTTACTTTCAAAAACAGCATGTCAGGATTCATGAGGGGAACCTCCCCTAAGACAGCGAAATATGATAGCTGTCTGGTACACCTTCAAGGTATAGGCTATCTATTGCAAAAAATTCCACTCTAGGACCATTCCCCTAGAAGTAGTTCAAAACTGCAAAAGTGGGTCTGGAAGGACGAACGGACGGGCGAACAAAACGCAAACAATGGCACATTTTTTTAATTATTAAAAAATGCGCTAAAAATGGTTACAAGTTTTTGAAGAAACAATAGAATATATCAATGTTTCAGTAACGCCATCAAGCAGAACATTGGACATTGTTGCAAAGCGAAAGCAGATCCAGTTAACTACGAATAGAAGAATCTACCAGGAATGCAGCCTTTCTCCGTTTCAAGGTTTCCTGCTGATCTGGATGCACTGGAAAGCACGTTGAGGTGGCAGACTAGCTTGCTCCATGTGGCTCCTCGCTTCAACCACATGTGCAACACAAGAGCACCAAACAGCAGATATTATGGTGGAACCAGGGCATTGAAATACAGGGTGATTGTCGCGATCTGCTCCAAAAATCTCGGTGTTGACTACTGTGAACGTCTCTTTGAGATCGCGCAACTGTCTCCGTCTGTAAGAAATTACAGGTCAATCCTCGAGAAGCCACGGGTCAAGAAAGCTCAGTGGCAGAACAAACCTAATGTGAAGAGGAGATAGCTGCAGCTGAACGGTGAAGACAGGGGGAAGAGAGTTATACAGGAGAAGAATCGTGGGAAACAGTATTCGTTTCTGAAACTACATCTTGCTGGCTCCCGGAACCAACTGAACTTCAACCTGGATGTCGATCTGGAAACAACTGGTGTCTGCCGCTGACGAGATTGTTCAGATTTCAGCAAATTATGGTGGAGAAGAATTCTCTGCATACATGATCCGAACCAAGAAGATCATCCGAGGGAAATTGGTCCACAACAACACTGCGCTTTAAACCTTGTTTGCGCAGCAATTTGTGGAGTTCCTGAGGGACCATGGTAGCCAAGTTGTTCATTTGGTTTGGTGCACCTAGGATTGTTCGCTTCATAATAGAGCACAAACTTGTTGAGGAATTCTGCGACCTGGTTCATGGCATGGTGGACACTCTGCCGCTCATTAGTCAAGGCAATGTTCGTAAACAAGACCAGCTTGCTGCCCAATTTCTCGCAGGGACGAATGGCAGTTCCATATCAAGAATGCCCACAATGATATGTATCCGACTGTGTGTTATTGGATCACTTGACAAGTCTGCTCTCACCGATTACATCTAATTTTATGAAGAGACAGAAAAGGAATGGAATTTAAGATAGCTGGGGCAAGAGTGACAGTACAGGAATTGAGAAAGGAGTTTGAAAGGCACAGCGGGAAAAACTTGGAAGTGCAAGAGTCACAACTAACAAAAAAATAATTGACCAAATAGAAGCATTCCTGATGGGCAATAAAGAAAATGCCCCACAACAAAATAATTCGAGATGAAACTTGTCTCTACACCAAGTCATTGTCTTTTGTAATATAGGGTGTCAAAAGTCGAGTGTGTACATTTTAAGTGTTAACCAGGCTTACTCGCATCATGTCCTTTTACTTCCTTTTTGACAGTTGGTTTCTATAAACATTGGCGTTAAGTTGTTGAATCGTTGGCGTTACAAAAAACTGGAGCCGATCTGAGTCGTTTTGAAAGTTAAGTATCTATATATCTTTGGATTTCGAATGAAACAAGGAATCTTTATAGGTCACTCTCATCGCTGAAATATAACATTTTATCGCGATGTTTCTGCGAGGCTGGAACGTTTCTCTATAAGGGCCCATGTTAAATTAGACGATTTTCAAAGGGGTGTATCTTGAAAATTAATCCAATGACAGTACCATTTAACTTTACTTTCAACTAGCTACCAGTTGCTACAAGAGTACAATTTTTAATTGACCATTTTCCCTATATTCCTATACTTATTTAAAATTAAATGTAATGGTTGGTCAATCGGGACAATAGAAAATAGATAACAGTTTGATAACGATGCCATTTTCATTTGATAGCATCTATGGTTCATTTTGGTGGTTTACAAAGTGTGAAAAATGCTCCGAAACAACTAACAACAGTCGGTCACTTCAAATGGAGAGCCGGTTTACACTGCAATCTGCGCGAAGCTTGAATTGATACGTCTTGTTTAAATTTTTGTCGGTAGTCTACATAGAGCCTCACTTATCCATATCTTGATGGACATGGTATGCTTGGCAACGCAATGAACCCTTATTAGAATTATGTTCCATTCACTTTTACTTGTTTCCTGTTTTGTCAAGAACCTTTTTTGAATGTATGTTATTTTGTAGCAAAAGTTAAGGCCAACAAAAAAGGTTTGCTATATGAAATTTTCTGAATAACGACTGCTCCTTTAGTTCTAAATAGCAGTTGAACGAAATCGATACCGGTATTGTAATCGAGATTTTTCATCTCAGATACCAATGTTGTATAATGCGCTGAAGTACTGATATGTCCCTATTGTAACAGGTACAACATTAGCATAACACAGCACGTTTAAGTAATAAATCTCATATAGTCAGTACAAATAATAAGCATTGCTTCCTACTTCTTCAGCAAGTTTGAACAACACATTTACATAAATGGATAGATACAAGTAATATTATGTGAAAAA